TATGACGAGGAGGAAGTTCCCTCCTCGCCCCTCCGTTCCCTTGCTCTACCCTTTTTTGCCCATCCTTTGCAGAATATCCAAAAAGTACCCTCCATATTTGAGGGAGTTGCGTACCTAGACATCCCCCGTATGTGCTCCATTACTAGGGGAACCCAGCGTAAGTGAGGTTGCGTTACCAGTTTGATAATCCATTTCGATTGAAGTGCTTTAATCTGTTGTTCGGGGTCCAGGATACCCAGGCCCCCCCGATTCTTTGTTTGTATTACTTGTTTCCAAGCTACCTTGGAAATAAAGTTGTTCTTCGCCGGGTTCCCTGTCCACAAATAGGCTGTCGCTACCCTTCGGAGCTTCCTAAGTGCGGGCCCTGGGGGTGACCACAGGGTGCCCGCATACCATAACATGGAAAAGATCGAAGCATTTAGAACCAAGGCTCTCCCGAAMAGAGAGGTATAGATACTRGACCATGCRTCCAACTTAGCTAACATTTTGGTCATYTGATCCGAARCCATGGAGTGATGAGGRCCCTCRTCGGCTAGCCTGATCCCCAAATACCTCAGAGGCTGATGTGGGGGCAGCCASTCCATTCCTCCATGGTCCGGGGGTTGGGGCTGCTGGTGCTGGTRGTCGTGTATGAGCCACCAACCTATCGTTTTGGGCCAGTTAATTCTCATTTCCGATGCCAACTGAAACGCTTCCATTGCTTTTGTGAGTGCCTTAAATGAGGAGTCAGTTGCCCTGATGAGAACTGTGAGATCGTCTGCGAATARTATCRTGGTGGGTAGTTCTATRATACGCCCCTGCTGGTCAGGTTCAGCTATCAGTCGGTCAAGTGAAGGATCCTTTCTAAGGAATGAAGCTATGGCTTCCATGATAAAGAGAAAAATAGGGGCAGCTAATGGGTCACCTTGCCTAACTGATCTGGTCATTTTATATCTTTCCGAGAGGTGTCCGTTGACCTGCACTTGACCGTGTGAGTCGTTGTATAATACTCTTATCCACTTGCGAAAGTTAGGACCTACACCCATTTTCTCCATACATTGTTGTAGAAAAGACCATTTGACCTGATCATATGCTTTCTCAAAGTCAAAGAAGAGGATAGCCGCGTTCATTCTTTTGTTTGCTATGTACCTGACCGATTCTGATAGGGTCATCACGTTGTCTAAAATGAATCTCCCTGGGATGAATCTTGTTTGGTCCAAGAGGAAAGCAGTTGCCTGTTATCCGCCTCAAGCGATTCGCTAATGCTTTGACCACTATCTTGTGTGTAAGTGTCAGGAGTGTAATCGGTCTATAGTTTCTGATGTCTCTGGGGTTTCCTTTCTTGTACAGCAGGGTAACTACCCCTGTCGAGGATTCCATTCCCATGCCTTCGTTGTTCCATGCCTGGTTTAAGAAATCTTCGTATTCCCCTCCCAGAATTTCCCAGTACTCTTGCCAGAATTCTTTTGTTAGTCCATCCCTGCCTGGCGTCTTATTTGGAGGCATTGCATCTAAGGCCTCTCTTAACTCTTCCTGTGAAAGCGGGGCGTCCAACATTTCTGCCTGTTCCCCTTTCACCGTGCGGTCCAGATAGGCTAAGAACTTATCCCGAACTTCCTTTACCTGTCTTGGATCCTGGTCCCCTTCTCTGGATTTATAGAGAGAGCTGTAGAAGTCACTAGCTACCGACAACAACCCTTTGGAATCGGACACTACTCCCTGTGGGCCCTCCAACTGCTCTATTTGCGAATTCCTTCCTCTAGTTTTAATCTTTTGGAAGAAGTACTTTGTCATACGTTCTCCCTCTTCCCATTCTTTTACTCTTGCTCTCAACTGCATGCCCCTAGCCCTCCAGCGCTCCCAATCCCCTAACTCCCTTCTTGCCGCTTCTATTGTATTTTCATACATTTCCGTGCCCGGGTTGTTGATTAGGTTCCTCTCCGCTATTCGTAGGGCTTGCCTTAGTTCCTGCTCCCTAGCCTTCATTCTGGCAGCTAACTGCCTGGCCACCGCTGACGATGCTCCTGACAACGCGTTGATTAGGTCTGGGAACGACTGGACGTCGCTGTCATGGGTCAGGCAGACCTGTAGTATGGCCTCTCTGAGTTCTTGTGTTTTTAGCAAAGAATTGTTTACCTTGTAGAAGCTTCTACCCCTCTGGATATGCTTGTTTAAGGTCAACTCTAGAGTTACCGGTTTGTGGTCCAGACACGTGCAGTGTGGCAGTTCCCCTATTTGTATCGAACAAAGAGACCCTATCAAATCCTCCGACACTAGGAAGTAATCTATTCTGGAAGCTGACATATGCTGACTACGGTTCCTTTTGTAGTAGGTATACTGCTTCTGGCTTGGGTAGTGTAGGCGGAAGGGGTCAACGAGTCCCCAGGAAGACATGAGTGCGTGGATTGGTAAAGCCTCCTCGCCTGGAGGCTCATCCCCTATCCCTGATCTTCCCCCCATCAACCTATCTTTACCTGGGTCGAGAGTGGCGTTCCAGTCCCCTGCCAGTATGACATGTCTCGTTGTCTCCAAGTGGGATTGTACTGACCTAAGCATTTTTGCCCTACCCTGGTAAGAGTTGGGGCAATAGACTGTGACTAACGAAAATTGTTCTTCCTGATAAGAGAAGTCGATCTTCACCCATCGGCCCTCCTCAACATCCAGCATGGCGTCCTGTAGCGACAACTTGTTTGCCGCAGCTGACCTCTTATTAAGCAGAATCACCACTCCTGCTGAGTGCGTCCTACTCGCCACAGCCCAAAAACTGGCTTTCACCCACCTGAGCTGCTTTTCTATACGTTGCTGTGTCTTTTGGTGTACCGGCGAATTAGTGAGATGGGTTTCCTGAAGACACAAGAAGTCCGGAGGATTCCTTCCAAACCAATCGGTAGTTCTTATTAAGTTATTCCATTTATCCTTATTGTCCAAAATCTGTGCCATACCATTTACGTTCCAAGACACGATTCTAATTTCCGATTCCCTACCCCCCCCAAGTGCCAACAATCTTCTTCTCTTGATTCTTTCCTCTATCTGATCCCCTGCCATTTATTATGTTCCCTGAATCTGGTTTACTAACGAGCACTTCGTCACGAGCCCGCTTGTGACCATTCTAATTCAGTCACCAAGGGTGCTATCTTGGTGTCTATATACTCTGGCTTCCATGAGAAGACATCCGCCTTGGAGAGAATCGCTGCCCCTCTAGCCACCCATTCCGCTGCCTCCGTTCCTCCCAAAAGCCCGTACGACATGTGATCCTAAATTATTTCTAACCTACCTCCCAAATTCTCCACACATGATGTTGCATACTGTAACGATGCAGACCAGAACAAGAACCGACCTCTCTCACAAAGTACAAGATAGCGTAGCGGAAGACTTAGATAACAATGATCCGAACAATCAATATTGCAATGCAGCCCCGAACATACATCATCATCATCACTCCATGGTGTGAAGGGGCCTGGCGCTCACACAGGAAGAATGCGCCAGTCCCCAACCATACACAGACGAAG